TGGAAATGAAAAAAAAAAAAAAAAAAAAATCAGTTCTTAACATCTGGGAAGCCAGAGAGAATATATTTTCCTGTTTAGCCAAATAAATGCAGCAATGAATAAAAATAATAAAAAAAAAATCAGATTATGTGTAACATTACTTACAAAACAACAAAGAATGAAAAACCTTCCTGTTTAGATTATTCTTCAAACAAATGATTACATAAATATAAACTGAACCAAAAAGGGGGGAAAAACAAAGGCAAATAGCATTTGTACTTTTTTGATGTAGACAATGATATCCATATTTACTAAAAGCTAAACAGCAGAGGTGTCATTTTAAAGAGATGAAAAATTATGAGTCTGAATTTAGTCAGTTCTTATTGCACAAGCACAGCTGATTTATTCATCACCCACACATTCATTTGGTCTGTTTTCATATTAGAAAACCAGCATTTATTCTTTGACGATTAGAAATAAAACCAAATTGCTAATGAGCCGATGCGGATCATGTGGTTTATACAAAATCCATGCAATAATTATTTAAGTTTTCAATTTTAATCTATCTCTTTGAAGTGGCAGGAGGGTTCATACGGGCTTCTAATGAGTCTGCTGTAGGATGACACTGATCTTCCCTTGATGTCTACAGGTGCAGTGCTTTATTATTACTTTCTTTTGTCTTTTCTGGCAGGTGTAGCTGACTGCACTTAGTACTTGAGCATCTGAAGGTCCAGTTTATAAAAGGTAGATTATTTTCCTTTAAGACAAACAGAAACACAGAAGTACTGCAGCCGATGTCAGAGAATGGTTTGAGCCTTCTATTGACATACAGCGTGCTCTCTGATCCGTAAAGCTGGCTGGCAGGTTAAAACGATCTTCCACCAGGAAACATTTACAGGATCTCGTACTTATCCACAACAAATGACGTCTCTGAGGAGAATTTGACTGGACTGCCTTCCTCTACATATGTCACCTTGGCCACCTGTGGAAACAATGAATATAAAGTCATTTCCTTTCTCACAAGGGCTCAGTTTTGTTGTCGTTTATTTATGAAATGCTGCATAACTTGCCTGAATGTCACAAAAGTTTCGCTTGGAGACAAAAGAAACATGGATTGGGAAGAAGTCGTTGGGGTTGCCATCCATACTGAACTCCAGGCTGCCACTCTTGTTTTTCTCATCAATGACAGGAAGTGACCATTCCAGGATGTTTTTCCTGCTGTCATGGTTATACTGCCCGTCCAGATCACCAACCACAGGAGCACCTACACCTGACCTGCATGATCCCAGGAGACAGAGGTTGTTTATGGATATGGATTTTGATAATGTTTGTGTATTTTGCTAATTAAATTTTTTTAATACATACAGCTTAAATAAATGCAAAAAAAAAACACAATAAAAATAAAAACGAATACATACATACATACATACATGTATATAATGATCTGAATAAGCACTTACGGCAGAGGGATAGTAATGACAACATCATTGAGTTCGAGCCCCTCGTCCTGAAGCTCATACTCAATGTTGACGTCACAGCCACTTCCACTTTCTGACGGCCAACAGTTAACTGAGAGTACAGAAGGTACGTGCATGATTGAAATGTTTATGAAAGTGCTGTTATACTAAAACCTTTAGTTCAATAACTTTATTCATGAACACTTCATGCAGAAGCAAGTGAAGCCTCACTTGTTAAAGGAATGAGGGACTCATCAGTGCTCTGTAACCTCCATTTCAGCACCCCCAAATCACTGTTGAGAGGGAAGGACTTTTCCTGGTTTTTCAGACAGATCAGGGATTCGGTGTTGAACAGCTTTTTATCAACATGAGGGTGAGTCTGAAGAATAAACGAAACAATATTGAGTTATACGGCCAGTTCAGTGTTCTTTTCTAAAATATCAGACTGTCGACAACTCCTCTTCAAAATACACGCTGAGAGCTTGACATGCTGAACTGTCTCACACATACCTGTAGTTGGGCTCCTTTCTTGTCGTTGTTGTTGATGAGTATGGAAATGCGGCCATTTTTTTCATCTGCGACTTTCAGAGTGATCATGCCCAGAACTTCCATGTTCTGCAGTCCACCATCCCGACCACAGGTCAGAGAGATCTTCTCCTCCACCCTCAGATGTACGCTGGGAAACGGAGTTCATAAACTATTAACAATCGGCATAATCGTAAAATAATAACATTATAATAAGAAAATACTCTACCGTTCAAAAGTTTGTGGTCGATACGATTTTTTTATATTTTTTGAAAGTTTCTGCTTGTTAAAAAAATACAGTAAAAACAGTAATATTGTGAAATATTAATATTTAAAATACCTGTTTTCTATTTGAATATATATTAAAATGTAATTTATTCCTGTGATACAAAGCTGAAGTTTAGCAGCCATTAGTCTTTAGTGTCACATGATCCTTCAGAAATCATTTGAATATGACGATTTGGTTCTCAAGAAATATTTCTTAATATTATGAACATTGAAAAAAAAAGTTGTATTTTTTCTTTCTTTCAATAAATTAGATTGTTTGGAAAAAATAGTATTTTCCTGGAAACTGTGATAAATATATTGTTTTTTTGTGGATTGTCAAGATGAATAGAAAGTTAAAAAAAAAACTGCATTTATTTATTTATTTTTTGGAAATATCTTTACTGTCACTTTTCACTCTCTCTCTCTCTCTCTCTCTCTCCCTCCAAAAAAAAAAAAAAAAAACCTTTACGGAGCACAAACTTTTGAAGTGTAGGTAACTTTGGTAGTGTAGGTAACATAGTATATGGAGAAGAATGTGCCAGACACTGAAATAAAATGAGTAAGCAATACCTCTCTAAATTCACTGGAGGCTGAAGGACTTTAGATGCCTCTGATGCCTTCCTTCCTGCACTGGATGTGATGATATTTTCTCCTTCTGACTTTAGTTTGTCCACAAAGTTATCTACTTCTTTCCCTTTGACACCCAGCTTCAGCGCTTTACTGGACCCACTCGACCTACAAGAGGAACAGGACAGATTAACTTCTGTACGCTTATGTATTTACAGTAGATGTGTCATAGACCACAGTTACAGCTCATACCTGACTGGAGCAGAAGCCACTTTGGGCTTCTCTGGCTCTATTGTATCAGTGATGATGGTGGCTGATATGACGCTGCTCATTCCTGAACTTCCGAAACCTCCGAAGCCTGGCGATTTCTTTCCGGCACGTTCAGCATCTTGTCTTGCTCGCTGCAGCTCTTTGGCCTTGCGTTTCATCTCAGCCTTTGCTTCTCTTTCTTGGGTCTGTTAAAGTGGAAAATTGAGAGAAACCGAGAACATTAGCGTTAGTTCAATACAAATTGAAAGCAGAGAGTAATTTAGCTCTGGATGTTTCATTAAACTGAAGGGAATATCTGACCTCTCTGACAGCCCTGAAGACCTTCTCTTCATGTGAGTCCATCTCAGTAAAAGTGCGAATCTGTGCCAGGTTAACGTTCTCCCGGTAGCCCAGAGCTACGATCTCATCAAATGCAAATATGAGATC